TGACCCTAGCCCCCATACAAAGTCCCCTTCAGAAAATGACTTGAAGGTGGAATTCACCTTTAAACACTACTATCACATTGAAATTCTGCTTAAATAACTTTAATGTCATCGTAAATAGCTCTACCAAAATTTATACGAATAGGTCCATATTTACCTTTACCCCCATATAACCCCTCTTTCAGAAAACCACTTTTTTGGTACGAAATTGGTAAAATATTTCGGAATTATGGAAAAATGCTTTATTATTACAAAAATAATCCATATTTTTAACTTACTCAGTGATGTTGGGTATCATATGGTCGACCATGCCCGACTATACATTCTTAATTATTAAATTTATATCTATAATATTGAACCTAGAAACATGAAATTAAGCAAGTAGAGCCTGGAGTAAAAGGGGACTTTTGGTACTTTTTCTTTCTATGACTGGTACTTTTTGGTTTTTATGCAGACACGCAGCCAAATATAGAACTCTTACTTATTTCATTTCAAGTGGAAAGTTTTACATTGTGAAATTGTACTACTTTTACTAACGACACCTGTACGTATACGTGTTAATGATTTCTTGATATTACAAATATTAAGTATACGTGTAATTTGGAGCATCACTTTTGATTTTATACTATGTTCAAAATTTTTGTTCTTTATGACAAGAGACACAACTCAGAAAGTAAATCAAAATTCCGAACGGTCCCAAATCTTTGGGAGAACATAAAAAAGTGAATGACTTTGGGCAAAACTGGGAGACACGGTATTTGTTTTCGGTCTTTTATCGCGTAGAGGTGTAAGTGAAATATATTCTCAAGATGGCCTTCTCTCCCGGAAACAGAATTTTTCTCGCTTTGGCTCTAAATTTGGCTAATGATGCTGTCTACACCGTCCTATGATTTAAATTTTAAAAATGATTGCTTTAGAATCAAAATAATCTCTATTCATGGCAATTTATTAGGATTTGTGTGTCTGTGTTCATTTCCTCGGTAGATCTGATTCTCTTTGCTTCAGATATTGAGAGAGAATCCGATATTCCTAGTATTCTGTGATTGACTTAATATGAGTTTCTGAAAGTCGATAACTTAGCTATGATGTCACTAGCCTCCTCAACCATTCATTCTACCAAATCGTAGTTAGGTTTTGGTGTGAAAACCCTCATCTTAATTCAAAAGTCTGGGATTGCTTAGAGCTCCACCTGATTACATTCTTCTCTTCCAACACCACATTTATAGGCAATAAATAAGGGACTGAATCAGTAAAACAATTACCTCGTATAGTTTAGCTGTACCTGCAATTTGAACTAGGTGTATTTCGGGAAAATCGGAATTTTTGTAATATTTTAACAAAGTACTACTGCCCGGATAGTATCAAATATAGCTTCGACTTTTTATTAAAATCGCGCAATCTTAATCCATAAATTGTGGAGGTCAAATGGTAAATCAAACAAAATTTACTTAAATTAATTAAATTATTTAATGCAATAAATTTTAATTTCTAGTTTATTGATTTCCAATAAAACCCTACATTTAATTTGTATTAAAGATTAAGTAGAAAATCCTTAAATAAATTTCATTTATTGCCAAAATCACACAAAAGTCAGTAAATCATTTGATTGATACCATTACCCACATTTAAGAGCAAAAAAGTTGAATTTTATTTGATCACATCAATTATGGACAAGAGTTTGATATAAAAAGTTTTTTTTTCGTAATTAGAAGATACATTTTAATTATTGACAGTTTGATAATAAAAGGAAAGGACATTGAAATGTAGAAATAGAAATAAATTGTCTATTTTTACCACAGTCAGCGGAAATTTGGAAAACGTCTAAACTTGTGGGATGTACAATATGCGTATTATACCTCGCGAATAATTTAAGATGAAAACTAAGGACTTTGCAAAAGCTTTTTAACTATTCTTTAGCTATCTACATAGTAAAGCTCATATAATTTAAATATTTCATTTCACTTCAAACTAAATGAAATATAAGTAAAAACTTGACTAGACCACTGGACAAGATTTATTATATTCTATTTCAAAAATAAAATTCACTCGAAAAATATATTTAAAATTTAATATTATTACTTTAGTTTATTGTCTGAAACACCATTAAGTTCTTAATTAGTCAAAATTATTCCCTTTAAAACCATTTGTAACACATTCTATAAAATTGTTTAGAAAATTCATAAATATTTTCGAAATAATTTATGAGTGAGAACAACTAAAACAATAATTTGTGTTCAAAAGTGAAAAAAGCCACATTTGAGCATTGCAAATAATATAATTAGTTGTAAAAACGAAACTAAACTAATGAGTTTAAAGTCAACACATATACAATTTACAAAATCATATATTTGTATATAAGGGACGTAACCAATATCAAAAATATCCGTTTATACGTGAGACACCTCTAAACGAGATAGATAGGCGTAAGTCCATGCTATAGCATTAGTATAAAAAAGATTGGAACAAATATGGCGCTAACAGATGTTAACATATATTCCGACCGGTGAAAGAAAAAGTTAGCTGATAATGTATGTTAGCAGACGATTGCAATCGTCAGGATTACTGACAGTTGTCAGGCATTGCTAGTTATTTCGTTTTATGTCTAACTAACTAACTACTAACTAACTAACTAACTAACTAACTAACTAACTAACTAACTAACTAACTAACTAACTAACTACTAACTAACTAACTAACTAACTAACTAACTAACTAACTAACTAACTAACTAACTAACTAACTAACTAACTAACTAACTAACTAACTAACTACTAACTAACTAACTAACTAACTAACTAACTAACTAACTAACTAACTAACTAACTAACTAACTAACTAACTAACTAACTAACTAACTAACTAACTAACTAACTAACTAACTAACTAACTAACTACTAACTAACTAACTAACTAACTAACTACTAACTAACTAACTAACTACTAACTAACTAACTAACTAACTAACTAACTAACTAACTAACTAACTAACTAACTAACTAACTAACTAACTAACTAACTAACTAACTAACTAACTAACTAACTAACTAACTAACTAACTAACTAACTAACTAACTAACTAACTAACTACTAACTAACTAACTAACTAACTAACTAACTACTAACTAACTAACTAACTAACTAACTAACTAACTAACTAACTAACTAACTAACTAACTAACTAACTAACTAACTAACTAACTAACTAACTAACTAACTAACTAACTAACTAACTAACTAACTAACTAACTAACTAACTAACTAACTAACTACTAACTAACTAACGAACTAACTAACTAACTACTAACTAACTAACTAACTAACTAACTAACTAACTAACTAACTAACTAACTAACTAACTAACTAACTAACTAACTAACTAACTAACTAACTAACTAACTAACTAACTAACTACTAACTAACTACTAACTAACTAACTAACTAACTACTAACTAACTAACTAACTAACTAACTAACTAACTAACTAACTAACTAACTAACTAACTAACTAACTAACTAACTAACTAACTAACTAACTAACTAACTAACTAACTAACTAACTAACTACTAACTAACTAACTAACTAACTAACTAACTAACTAACTAACTAACTAACTAACTAACTAACTAACTAACTAACTAACTAACTAACTAACTAACTAACTAACTAACTAACTAACTAACTAACTAACTAACTAACTAACTAACTAACTAACTAACTAACTAACTAACTAACTAACTAACTAACTAACTAACTAACTACTAACTAACTAACTAACTAACTAACTAACTAACTAACTAACTAACTAACTAACTACTAACTAACTAACTAACTAACTAACTAACTAACTAACTAACTAACTAACTAACTAACTAACTACTAACTAACTAACTAACTAACTAACTAACTAACTAACTAACTAACTAACTAACTAACTAACTAACTAACTAACTAACTAACTAACTAACTAACTAACTAACTAACTAACTAACTAACTAACTAACTAACTAACTAACTAACTAACTAACTAACTAACTAACTAACTAACTAACTAACTAACTAACTAACTAACTAACTAACTAACTACTAACTAACTAACTAACTAACTAACTACTAACTAACTAACTAACTAACTAACTAACTAACTAACTAACTAACTAACTAACTAACTAACTAACTAACTAACTAACTAACTAACTAACTAACTAACTAACTAACTAACTAACTAACTAACTACTAACTAACTACCTAACTAACTAACTAACTACTAACTAACTACAACTAACTAACTAACTAACTAACTACTAACTAACTAACTAACTAACTAACTAACTAACTAACTAACTAACTACTAACTAACTAACTAACTAACTAACTAACTAACACTAACTAACTACTAACTAACTACTAACTAACTAACTAACTAACTAACTAACTAACTAACTAACTAACTAACTAACTAACTAACTAACTAACTAACTAACTAACTACTAACTAACTAACTAACTACTAACTAACTAACTACTAACTAACTAACTAACTAACTAACTAACTAACTAAACTAACTACTAACTAACTAACTACTAACTAACTACTAACTACTACTAACTAACTAACTAACTAACTAACTAACTAACTACTAACTAACTAACTAACTACTAACTAACTAACTAACTAACTAACTAACTACTACTAACTAACTAACTAACTAACTACTAACTAACTAACTAACTAACTAACTAACTAACTAACTAACTAACTAACTAACTAACTAATTAACCAACTTTTGTGACACTTGTGCGTATAAATAGTTTTATGCTCGTGAAGCCTCTGTATACCTTGTGATCTAATACCCATCATGATCGAAGAAATTTTGAAAAATTTAAATATAGTTTTCGGTAAATGCACATTACATTAACCTTAAGATAAAAATAAATCAAATTTTTCAATATTTTAACACTGTTAAGCTATTTCAAAATTTAATTTCAATAAAAAAAATACCAACCTTAACTTCAGTGCTGTTAATTAAATTTTTAATGCTTCAATGCTGTTGCTGATGATGTTAATGCTGTTACTACTGGTGACAATTGTTGATGTGATTGTTGTAGTTATGCTTTGGAATTTAATATCGATACTAGATAATGATGTTAATGAATTTTCGAAGTAAAAATGTTTTTCAGTTAGAAAATCATTGTTTTCAAGTACATGCCATCATTTACAATCATTTAGTTTTTTTTATACTTTTTGTGCACTTGTTCAAAATTCATCAAATTTCTTTATAAAATTTATTTTGTTTCTTTTTTTATTATTCGTTTTTAAATGATGATGATGGTGTTGCAAATATTACACACACAAATGAACACTTTTAACTTGGGTGTAGTAAATATTAAAAAGGAAACGGAAACAAAAAGAAACTTTAAACCAAATATATATCAATGTTGATGTTGTTGACTTGTGTTTTTAATTTGAAATTTTAAACTTTGGTGTTAAATTTTATAATATTAAGTTTAAACTATTGTTGTTGTGTTCTTTGATGATATATTGAATTTTTTTGCTGTTTGAATTGTTGTAATTGATCTGTTAAAAATGTAATAGTATTAGTACTATATATTTTATTTATAATTATTTAATTTATTTTGTTTAACAATTGTTATTGTTGCTGCTGATGATGTTATTTGTTGCTGATTTTTTTATTGCTGTAATTAAGGGCAGTTAATCGTTGTTTGATTTGCTTTTGCTGTTGTTAAATGATGAGTTTTACAGCTACATTTGTTGCATACTTTTAGGTGTTGCTTATAAAATTGTATTTCATTTAATGCTAATGTTAATGCTAATGATAATAATGAATTACTTTTTGTTTAAATTACTGCTTAATGTTTTTACTTTTTTATGTTTTTTTTTATATGTGTTTTTAATATGCTGACCATTACATGGTTGTGTTGGTATGACTTCTTAAGTATTTTTCTTTTCTTTTTGGAATTTTATAATTTTAACACAAACATAATCACTTATTTTTACTAAATTCACTTTTTTGTAGCAGTTGTTTTGTTTTTTTGTAAAGAAAAATCATCAATCATTGACACCCATGCCAACAGCTTGACATCATTAATTTCTCATTTTCTATCTACTGCTACTATTTTTGGTATTTATGTAACATTCATTAAAATTCATTTGATTTTTTTCCTTATATTACAACTTTTAGTCATAGAAAAATATATGTATAACATCAATTGTTTTTGTTGCAATTGTTGTTTTTTAATTGGAATTTCAATTTAAGCAAACCTTTAATTTGTTTAATTACTTTTGTTTAATTTAAAAAAAAAAAATAATAATAAATTTCATAGTTTAAATACTTTTAAATAAAACATTTAAAAATTAATTTGCATGATATCATTATTTTTATGACAGCTGCATAATTAAATAAATAAACTTGTAATTAAAACTGATTTTTAAGTTTTTGTCTATTGAAGTGTGGTAATAAAATATTTATTAAATTTTAAAAATTTGTTACTAACTTTAAGTTGAAATTCATTATGTCAGTTTAATTAATATTCATTGGTAATGAATTGATGAAGTGAGAAGTTTCGCTGTTGAAGGACCCTAACCCCAAGTCCCGTAAAATTATAATTCAAGGCAGGAAAAGAAGATTAAGTACTATAGTATACACTAGTTAATAGAAGAGTTAAAACTCTAGTAAATAGACTAGCCCAAATGCTAACTTATAGAATACCCCATTATATTACTTATTAGATAGTTCATGGACTAATCATCTAATTAATGGACTAGCCAACATATTAGTAAATAGATTAGTCCCTTAGTTTATGAAATAGTTTATTGTCTAGACAATATACTGATTAATAGACTTGTACATTTATTAGTCCGAAGTGTAGCCCATAGAATAGTCAATGGATTAGTCTACAGACTTGTCAATAGATTAGTTAATATACTAGTCAACACAGTAGTCAATGGACTTACTTATAGACTAGTCAATTAATTAATCCAAAGACTAATCAACAGATTAGTAATTTGACTGGCCCTTTAGTTTATAGAATAAGCCAAAGTCTAGCCAATAGACTAGTCCATATATTAGTCCATAGAGTATTCCATAGAATAGTCAATATATTAGTCTTGACTTGTCCGTACACTAGACCATATAATAGACCATATACTTGTCAACAGATTAGTCCAAAAACTTATCCATATACGAGACAGCACGGTATTCAATGGACTTATCCATATACCAATCACTAGTTAGTATAATATACCATAAACTAGTCAAAAGACTCATCTATATATTAGTCCAAAGATTAATGAACACACTAGCCCATATATTAGTCCTTAGGCTAGTCAAAAGATTAGTCAATAGATTAATCAATAGATTAGTCCATAGACTAGTCCATAAACTAATAACAGAGCAGCTAATGGACTTGCTCATAGACTAGTCAATAGATTAATCCATTGGCTAATCAACTGGCTCCATTAATTTATGGAATAGAAATCTAGCCAGTATACTAGTCCATAGATTACTCAGTAGTCTTTTCCATAGACTAGTTAATATACAAGTCTATAGAGTATTCCGTAGACTAGTCAGCAGACTACTATAGAAGTCCCCTTCAGAAAATTCCATAGAATAGTCAATATATTGGTCTTGACTTGTTCGTACACTAGATTATAGGCAGATTAGTAGAAAACCGTGTCCATATAGAAGACAGCTCAGTATTCAATGAACTCATAAGTAGACTAATCCATAGACTAGTTAATAAAATAGACCATAGACTAGTCAATAGACTCATCAATATATTAGTCCAAAAATTAATCAACTCACTAGCCCATAAATTAGTACTTAAGTTAGTCAAGAGATTAGTCAATAGATTAATCAATAGATTAGTCCATTGAATAGTCCATAAACTAGTAACAGAGCTTGCTCATAGATTAGTCAATTGATTAATGCAAAGGCTAATCAACTGGCAACATTAATTTATGGAATAGAAGTCTAGCCGATATACTAGTCCATAGATTATTTAATAGTCTTTTCCGTAGACTAGTTAATATACAAGTCTATAGAGTATTCCATAGACTAGCCATAGACTAGTCAACAGACTTATTCATAGACTAGTCAACATACTAGTTAGTAGATTATTCCATGTACCGGTCAATAGATTAGTTAGTCCGTTGAGTAATCCAAAAACTATTCTATTGATTGGCCGATAGACTTGTCAATAGATTAGTACATAGAGCAGTCAATAGATTAGTCCATAATCTAGTCTATAGATTATACAATAAACTTGTCCATAGAGTAGTTAAAAAGATTAGTCTTAATACTATAGACTAGTTAATAGAATAATCGGTCCATAAACTTGTCAATCAGTAGTCGATAGACTAATTATATATTTCAAAAACAAAATCATTTTGAAGATTCCATGCCCACTTTAGCTAATGCGTCAAATTTTTGCCCCAGGTATTTATATGTATAGATATCTTAGTTGTAAAAAGCTTGTCCACAGATTAGTCCATAGGGTAGCCAATAGATTAGTCTACATACTATAGGCTAGCTAATATAATAGTCTGTCCATAAACTAGTCAATGATTAGGCGATGGACATATTACATATTTCACAAACAAAATCATATTAAAGCTGCCACGCCCACTTTAGCTAAGGCGTCCGATTTTTGCCCCAGGTATCCATATACCTAGATGTCTAAGTTGTAAAAAGTTTGTCCACAGATTAGTCCATAGGGTAGTCAATAGATTAGTCCATATACTAAAGACTAGTTAATAGAATAGTCGATCCATAAACTAGTCAATGATTAGTCGATAACTAATTACATATTTCAAAAACAAAATCATATTGAAGGTGCCACGCCCACTTTAGCTAATGCGTCCACTTATTGCAGCAGGTATTCATATACAAAGATGTCTAAGTTATAAAAATCAAAAAAAAAAAAATTCAAAATTGCTGCTGCCGTTTAGCAAACAAACACATAGATACATACGTAAATAAGCTGACACTGCAAATAGTGATGTCAACTAAAAGTTTCTACCATCTCTAATCAAAAACCTATTATAACTAAATAAAGCAAATATATTACCAAAACCACACACATTCACAATTAGTAATATATCTATAAATATCTTCAAAACAAGGCCCTCCAATTAATTGTTCATACTTATTTAAAAGTCATCATAACATTTAAAGGACATGAAGCTGAAGAAACTAGCGCCAAAATGTTGTCTCATCACAAAGTGTGAATTATTTATCTACGTATGTGTGTGTGTGTGCGAGAGTGTGTATTCAAGTCTTTCACTCTCACACTTCATTTAAATGAAAATGAACGTCATGGGAATACTGTAACAGCAGTTGGTATCAAGTATGAAAATGGAAAATATGCCATTATGTCTGGCTGTCTTTTTATTTTCATGTAAGAAAATGAATAGAATATTTTATACTATAGAATCAAAAAAAAAAAATAGACTGGCTGGTGTCGCCCCAAAAATTATAAATAATACTCTATACAATAATGTCGGGAATAACAACACGAACAACAAGAATAATAATTTTGAATAGATGACGTTATGCACGCAATCTTTGTTAAAGTTTTCATCAACACAAACGTTTTATATATGTAAGTGGTAGGTTTGGTAATTAGCTAAGAAGCAAATGTTGAAATTTGAGAAGCACTTTTAAAGCAGTCCAAATTATGTAAAATCCTAGTGAAAAAAAAACATAGACAGCACTCTTAGGGATACAATCATCACTTCGTCCTAGAACGATGGGTAAATAGATCATTCATTGGCAAATGTGCAGCAGATGAATGCTAAAAGACATTTTGAACTTTTAAAACGTTGGAATTAAGAACCTTAATAGAAGCAAAACTGTCTAAGTAGATATTAACTATATACGTAAATTGCCCTTAAAATACCTCAGTTTAATTTTTCTTCATTTTCACATAAAAAAATTATGATTATAATTTATACACATCCTTCGTAATCATTTCCCCACTGCAATTTCTTACCTTTAATAAAAATATTCCCATGACATTTTTCACAAAAATTTTCTAAATATTACGTCTCCCTGTCAATTTGGGCAAGGAAAACATATAAAAACACTTTTGTGTACTTAACAACACTGCCACATGCCTAAAAATTGTTCACGTTTCACATTAAAGAAATTACCCTTCTTGATTTCTTTATATTCACAGTAAGTGTCGGTATTTTTTACTTCTACTTTTCATTTCGGTTCATATTCCATGCTTCCGTTTCCTTTGGCACACATACAAAAGTAAACGTTACTGTTGTTGCCATTTTCATTAGTCAGACATTCATTCAGTCACTCACTCAGTTCTCATTCATTCTTGCGTTTAGTCATTCAAACTCTAATTTGGTTGCTCTGTTACAAATTGAATGAGTGTGTCTGTTTGTCAGTCAATCAGTCTGTCGGTATAAAAGTGAAAATGTATGTAGTTGTTACTCTTTTCCATTGTATTTGTGTATTTTGTAAGCCAAAATAAAATTTATTATATTTTCTTGTTTTCTTTTGTTTATCTGTCCTCCATTTTAACTCATTCCATTATTTATTCTTTTATTCATTTGTCGTTCGTCCTGCCTGACAAAGGAATGCATTTACAGTGAAAGTAAACAAGACAAGACGGCTTTTAAATACCATTATTATACCGGATGATAAAAGAAATAAGTGAACAAGATACCCTACACCGGTATTGGAAGTTTTCTTGTCTGACAGTCTAGAGGTCGTGTGTTGGATTACCAACACAGACTCCGGCAATAGGCTAGGTATTTTTGGGGATATTTATGTAACTAACTAACTAACTAACTAACTAACTAACTAACTAACTAACTAACTAACTAACTAACTAACTAACTAACTAACTAACTAACTAACTAACTAACTAACTAACTAACTAACTAACTAACTAACTAACTAACTAACTAACTAACTAACTAACTACTAACTAACTAACTACTAACTAACTAACTAACTACTACTAACTAACTAACTAACTAACTAACTAACTAACTAACTAACTACTAACTAACTAACTAACTAACTAACTAACTAACTAACTAACTAACTAACTAACTACTAACTAACTAACTAACTAACTAACTAACTAACTAACTAACTACACTAACTAACTAACTAACTAACTAACTAACTAACTAAACTAACTAACTAACTAACTAACTAACTAACTAACTAACTAACTAACTAACTAACTAACTAACTAACTAACTAACTAACTAACTAACTAACTAACTAACTAACT